TGGTTTTTCCTGTCTGGGTCTCTGACCTACGAACTTTGGGCCCTGTTCTGGAAAACACTGGCATCACAACCGGAACAAACTGTTACCAGGAAAAGCGAATTCAGGATGTAGCAGAATTATCAACAACCCTCTATGGCAGTGACCCTCACACTCCTGTGCACTGGCTTCCCTGGAGGGGTCATCAGAGCAGATGGCAGGCCCCACTCCTGGAGTGTCTGGTAATTTACATTTCTTAACACATTCCCAGGTGATGCCACAGGAGGCCTGCTGAGCTCTGCTGCCTCCCCGCAAGTCCTGGCTGCTTGGGTCTTGGTGTTAAGAGGTTTCAGAAGGAAACAAACCGATTGTGCGCGCTTGTGCCAGGCGCAGTCAAACATCTGGTGCAGTGTTACTTTAACAGTCCTGTGCATGCAGGCAGTGTCTTCCCATTCCACGTGACACAAGGACACACACCGTTGAGCCGCTTGCTTAAAGTCAAGTGGGAGCAGATCTGGAACTGGATCACAGGTCCGTCCGCCCCCGAAGCCGAGGCTTTCCTGGCCTGCACTGCCCCATAAGCTTCCAGCTGGGCCACAAGGCCAGAAGTACTCATGATGAACCAAGAAGACACAGAAATTCCACCTCTTGAAGTCTTGCTTGAATTGCATGTCACAAAGATAAAAATATTGCACATATGCAAACTATGGACTTGGAAGCTAACATGGCATTCTTCTCTATTGCAAGTCTGTCATTGTTTGTAATCATGTTTTCACAATCAGCTTAGTAAATGTGTCAATTTCTAATAATAGGCTCTTCATGGAAGCTGCCAGAAGTCATGTGTTGGGAAGAAGCATACTGGGATTAAAAGGTGCCAGTGATAGATGATAAGAGTGAACTAGCCAAAAATTGCAGCCTAAGTATTATGGACATTTTAAGAGCTTGTGATTTTGAGAAACGTTCCCAGTGTTGTTACTATAAAAAATCTTTTTCTCCCTCCAAAGTATATGACAATGGATGAACCTGGAAAATATTGTCCTAAGTGCAAGGAGTCAGTGTGGAAGCCCATGTTGTGGTATATGATTCCACTTATATGCCATATCCAGAACACACAGGAAGTAGACTAGGGCTTAGGGGCTGGTGATATAGGGAAGTGATGTAAACGGGCATGGGGTTTATTTATTGAGATGACGTAATGCTCTAAAATTAGCTCTGGTACTGGTTGCATAGCTGTATATATGCTAAGAACCATTGAACTGTACTCTCAACAGGTGAATTGTATGGTGTGTGGATTATATTATAAGGCTTTTGCTGAGAAAAAGCACATTATATTTGTAAAAAGCATGTTATGTGGTATAGATGTTCACAGTTTTGAAGATTTTCACCTTGTGCAATTATTTTACAGCGACAGCTATGGGATTTAGGGTTAGCTAGGAAGGGCCAATTCAGGGAGTGTGGCGTGCCCTGGGTGCCCAGCATTGCCACCCTAATGGGGGATGTGAGGTCAGTACTTGGAACACCTTACCTGGGTACTATCTCAGGAGGTGCAGGTGAATGGGAGGGACTGTTGAGCTTGACAAGGGGTGGGCGCTACAGGGCAAACTGCCAGGTCTCCACAGACATACTGAGATGCATAAATACAAGCTGGGGCTGGAGGGTGCTCTGGTGTCTGGGGCCCTGGGTCCAGGATGGCTGGATGCCAAGGTGGTCTGGCCTTCTCAGAAGGGTGGAATCCACTTGACTCCCCGTCAGGGACTACCCAGGGTCATTTACTTGATGCCTAGGGTTATAAGCTCACAGCCTTACCAGAGTAGTTCCTCAGTCCCAGCTATGTGAAAGCAAAAGAACCAGACAGAAGTAATTGTCTCAGTCAACTTCCGGATCTCAAAAGCCCTTTACTTCTCCCACTAGGGGTGCCATTTCTTAGACCTCTTCAACTCAGCACTACTTACGTCAAAAAACGAGAAGAGATAGAGACAGACCAAGAAATAAAACAGTCCCTGCCCTCAAGGATTTTGCGGTCTAAAGGGGAAGGGCAAGTCATAAGCAGGTTCTGCTCTATATCTGCTCATCCCCATGCACTGGGTTGGGTTGTACGGCCGGTTTCTAGAACTATCACCAGGAGACACACATCTCCCACAACAACTAACTTAGTACACACGAACTTGGCATCCTGAAAATTAAAATATTGATACTTTCTGTAACCCTTACACAATCCATCCACCCTGGATGGACTGCCAGTTGTATTTCCTAAACAAGGCCTTGTGAACACGTCTAATATGAAAATTTCATCAGTTAACACAGTTCCTTGTGCCCTGAAGGCAAACCATATAAAGGTGGCATGTTGGGCCAGCAATGGACAAGTATTTGTCCATTCTATTGTTAGGAGGTTGAAGTCTTCCACAACGTCTTTATTGTCAAGAACTGTGACATTCCAACTTCAACTTGAATGCATGGTGGTGCACAGATCTGATGGACGTCACCCAATTTCAAGGTTAAAAACATGCCAAAAACCGTGTTCAAACTTTATCATTCTGAAATTTGGTTTGACTCTGTGTTGCACTAATTTTATTTTGATTATACACCAGGTCACAAAATACAGTGGGGAAGGAGTCCTAGAATTTGATCCAGATGCAGTTGCTCAATACCCCGTCACCCAGGCAAGACATACTGGCTTTGAGGCTCATTTGCTACATTTGCTTAAAAAGAAAAACAAGAGGGTTTGGCCAAAGGAGCTCAAATATCCCTTTTGGCAAAATTCTATTAGGCTGGGTAAAGGTCATTTGATTTCAACTTACAAGATCTGTGCAAATTGAACCAAACTAGTATTTTATTTTTGAACTGGGAATTTCAGTGATTTAAAAAAACCCAACACCCCCCATCTGTAGCTCTAGCATTAGGAATTCAAATTGGAATATTTTTAGGCTCTGAAATTTGAGCAAGTGCTTAACCTGAGCTCCTGCCTGCATTTTATAATTTGACTAATTTGAGTCATATGCAGTTCCATCTTTGACAAGAAAGCAAAAAATCACTTTACTAATATCTATTGAAGTTCAAGAATTGCTTCTAATTGGAGACCTTCTAAGTAAAATGGCATACCAGGAAGAAAATGACAGAATTTTATCCTTCCTTGGACTTTTTTTCTATGAAATATAACCTCAACTGTCAGAAATGCAAGTTATTTCAGATGTCCTCAATAAGTTCACTTAAAACAGATTGCCAGTGGGTTGCATTAGAACTAAAAAAAAAAAATCAATTCTAGATGAAAGCAAAACACACAGAAGCCTCCAAATTGGCACGAAAGAACAGTCATAGTAATCATTTAAGTTATTTAAGAGCAGGATGGAGGAGATGGAGAAATGCTTTCCTAATGTCTCAAGATTGGGTGGTTTCAGTCATCATTTCTGCGGCGGTGCTTCTTATAAAAATAACTTCATGAGGAGCAGCCCGATGAAACTCCAGCCGCCACCGGGCTCTGCAACCTCACTGCCCATTATCTCGTCAGGGTATTGAAGCTGGAGCAGGCAGTAATTAGAACAGAGCTTGGAAAGTAAGGGGGAGAAACTGGAACGAATTCTTTTCTTAAAGGAAGTGGCCCTTCACAGGCTGAAAACCCACGTTACCTACAATTTCCTCGTCCAGTTTGCCAAGGGAGGGGCCGGGCGGGATCCTAGGACAGGAAGGGAGAACTCAGCTGGGGTCAGGGGGCAGCGATGGGCGCAAATTCCCGGGAGGCATAACGCGCACCGAGCGGGTCGGAGCCTCCAGAGCCTTCGGAAGGGCGCAGAGCAGGCCCAGCATCCCGCCAGGGAGGGTCCAGGTGAGGGGCGAGTTGGCGGGCGCCGCTGGCGGGAGCCCGGGCTCGCCCAGGCGCGGTTCCGCCGCTGGCTCCTCCGGCTCAGCTGCCTCCTGCGGGAGTGTCTGCTCGCAAAGTCGCGGTTTCATCCCCGCTCCCGCCGGGCTCCTTAGGGCCTCTTGAAAGCAGAAAGTTGCAAGCCACAGGGGTCTTTGCCAGGCGCAGGGGCACCGAGGGGTGGGCACTCCTCTGGCCCAGCCGGCAGCCCCTCCCCGGACGCCACCAGGTACAGGGTCCCCGCGGACTCGCGCCTCTCCAGTCGGCACCCCATCCCCGCACCCCCAGGCAGCTCGCGGGACCTCGTGGAGACTGGCGGTCTGTCGGGTCACGCGAGACAGCTCCCAGGCCCCGGCCGCCGCCCCCTGCTCCCGGCCCAAGGTTCGCGGCCAGCAGCCGGGGCTCAGGGCGGGGCACGCCCGGGAGGCCCGGGCCGCGCGCTATTCCTGTCGCGGTGAGCTACCGGCCTGTTATGTGCGGCGCCCAATCACGCCTCCGACCCGCCGCGCTGACCCAGGCCCCCCCTCGCCCCCTAATCCCCCAGGCTTTGATTTGATCCTCCGCGCGGAACAAACTCAACCCCCCCTGCCCCTAGCCAGTTGTCTCCGGCCCTCTCGGATGCCCGCAGAGCCCGTCCTCCACGTCCACCCCGGGAGGTCGGGGCGCTCTTCCTGCACTCCCCGGACGCGCCGAGCCCGGGCCACATCTGCGCATCCCGGCTGTCGGAGATCCCCGGCCAGTCCACCCGCAGCTCGGTCCTTCCAGGTGATGGTGTGTGGCCTTTGCGGCCCCTGGCACGCAAGTGTGGACTCCCTAAACGGGGCCGCGGACAGGGCTTTGGGCTTCGCGCTCCTAGTCTCAGCTGCCTCTGAAACGGCGCCCTGCACCCCCTGGGAGACTCCAGACGCCGTGCCCTCCACTACCAGGGGCTACTGGAAACTGAACCCCCACCGGATTTGCTCTGAGAAGGGCGCGGGGTGGGGGTTGGGGCGATCTGCTGAGCTGGAGGAAGGCGCCCCGGGGTTTACACTGAGCAGGCATAAAAGGAAGCTTGCTAGGGGCGCTGCGGCTGGCGCGGGGGCCCGGGGGCGCGGTGCCCTGGGATGCCTCCAGCCGCGTCCGGCTGGCCCCAGCCGCAGCCCCCGCCCGGTCGCTTCCTGCCCTGGGCATCATGAGTTACTTCCTGTCCTACTGCAAAGCTCACGGCGGCGCGCTGCTCACCGGCTACCAGGCCCTACGCGCCGAGGGCTTCTTGTGCGACGTGACGCTGGAGGCTGAAGGCAGCGAATTCCCAGCGCACCGGTCGCTGCTGGCCTGCTCCAGCGACTACTTCAGGGCCCTGTTCAAGAGCCATACCCGGGAATCCCGGGAGCGCGTGATCCACCTGCAGGTGCCATCGGCGGCCGGCCTGCAGCGCCTGCTGGACTTCATCTACACTGCTTGGCTGCCGCTCTCCATGGACACCGTGGAGGACACGCTGGAGGCTGCCAGCTACCTGCAGGTCACCGAGGCCCTAGGGCTGTGCGGCCGCTACCTGGAGCGCCAGCTGGCCCCGGACAACTGCTGTTTCGCCGCCAACGTGGCGGCGCGCTTCGGCCTGGCGCACACGCAGGACGCGGCCGAGCGCTGCATCAAAGGCCACTTGTGGGAGCTGCTGGTCCGGGGCGCGGGCTCCGCAGGGCTGCTGGAGCTCAACCCCGCGTCCCTGAAGGCCGTGCTGGGTGCACCTGATGTGGCGCGGGTGCCCGAGGCTCGGCTGCTAGGCCTGGCGCTGGCCTGGCTGCGGCAGGAGCCCAAGGCCGAACGCCTGTCCCACTGCACGGCCCTGCTTGAACGCGTCCGCTTTGGTCTGGTGCCCGCCGACATGCTGCGGCGCGTGTACTCGGGCTCCGGCCTTACTTTGCCCACACGAATCAAGGGCCTCATCATCCAGGCCCTCAACTACCACACGGCGCCCTCCCGCCAGCCGCTCCTGCAGGGCGAGCAGACCAGCGTCCGGAGCCCCCAAACTCGCATCTTGTTGGTGGGCGGGCACAGGGGACGTGAGGTGCGGATGGAGGAGGTCGTGGCCCCGCGGCGGGTGGCCAGGGTCCGGGTGGCTGCGGTCCAACCCCAGGAGGAGGAGGGAGAGGAAGAGGAAGAAGAGGAAGAGGAGGAAGAGGAGGAGTTGGAGGAGTGTGAGCTCACCCAGGACGTCGTGGCCTTCGACGTGTATAACCACCGCTGGCGCAGCCTCACGCGGCTGCCCGCGCCGCTGCTGGGGCACTGCGTGTGCACGGCGGGCAACTTCCTGTACGTCGTGGGCGGGGAGCGGCCTCTAGGTGGCGCCACATCTGCCCAGGCCCGCGGCCCGCGAGCTGTCACGGCGGAAGTGCACCGTTACGACCCCCGTTTCCACGCGTGGACGGCCGTGCCCGCTCTGAGACAAGCGCGGGCCCACTTCTGGTGTGGCGCCGTGGGCGAGGGGCTCCTGGCGGTCGGGGGCGTGGGCACGGACGGCGCGGCGCTGGCTTCCGTGGAGATGTACGACCTGCGCCGGGACCGCTGGACGGCGGCCGCAGCGCTTCCGCGGGCGCTGCACGGCCACGCGGGGGCCGTCGGGGACCGCGGCGTGGTCTACGTTTCCGGAGGCAAGGCGGGGAGGGGCGAGGGCGGCGCGAGCAGCCTGCGGGACGTGTACGCCCTGGGCCCGGGGGAGCGCGAGTGGCACAAGAGGGCGCCCATGGGCACCTCCCGCTTTGGGCACCACATGGCGGCACTGCGCGGCGCGGTGTTCGCCTTTCTGGGGCGCTACGAGCCCTTCTCTGAGATTGAGCGCTATGACCCAGATACAGACCAGTGGACTCGGCTGCGGCCGCTGCGCTACGACCGCTTCTGTTATGGGTTGGCCGTGGTGGAGGAGACAGTGCTGCTGCTGGGTGGCCTCAAATGGCGGGACTCGCGCCAGGTGCCCACCCGCAACGTTGTGGGCTATGATCTCGACCTGGACCGCTGGGAGGACATCGACTGCCCGCTGCCCTGGGCCTGGAGCGGCCTGCAGTGCGCCGTGCTGCAGCTGGCCGAGGGTGGGGAGGAAACGGGAGAGCCCGGAGAGGTGCCAGATTTGGCGTAGGGCTTAAAGGTTAGCGTGGACGCTAGGTGACAGTGAGAAGCCGGAGTGTCACTCTTGACCATGCTTATGAGCGAGAAACACGCGAGCTGCTCCTAAGAGGGGCACTCTGGAAGCAAAGGGGCTTCTGAAGGCTAGAATCAAGGCAAAGCAGGGCATGGCCACAGAGGAACATTTCCCCTAAAGTTGAACGGGAAGGGAGACTAGTTGGTCAGAAGGAACCATGAGTCAGTGTCAGTGAGCTGAGACTTACATTGGACTAGAGATGGATTTTGGATTTGGATTTTCCCTAAAAGAAAAAAAAAAAGCGTCTCCTTAGGTGCTAGTTACTACTTTTGTGCCAAACAAAGGAAAGTCCAAAGAATGTGGCACTAGAAGTTATATACAAAAGCCATAAAATTGTGAGTTATAAAGACTATACAAAATAAGTCCTAGAAGCTTTATCTAAGGGAAAATGTCCTTGTTAAACAGCATAAGGCTGCTGTAAGGAGAACCAGGCTTTTATGACCCAGAACCATGACTATCGCTCTGATGGTGTAATATAACTGCACATCCATCTTGGGGGGCGGGGATAAGTTTTCGTGACCTCACATCCTTACCTCTTAGCCTGCTTTTGTCCTGGTTAGGCAGCTCGCTGGTTTTGTTTTATTTCAGCACCCTTGAGGCCTAATAATCAGGCTCCTCTGGTTAAGTGAAACATCTGACAAACCAGAACAAAACAAAAACCTATTTCTTTCACCCTCTAAATTCTGCAGATGTGCTGTCGGTTATATTTGTAAAAATATTAACTTATTTTTAGCAGTCCCCCACTGTACCTGCACTTCCCCCCACCATTTCCCTAAAGAACCAGAGAAGGAAAGAGGAGTAACCTAAGTTTTAAAGTTTGTGTCAGATAAACTGGCTTGGTTTTAAGGGTCTCAGAGGAGATAGAAGGCGGGGGACTTCTTTTGGATGGTGCCATCATGGGGGGGGCAAAATTAGAACTCAGAACTGGGGGAGGGGGGATGAGACGGAAGGGGAGATGGTGGCTTTGTGCCTAGGTCCCAAAGAATGTTGTGAGGACTCTGCATGAATAAAGTAGGTGCTTTATAAGGATTCATTAAGGGCTGAATTTATTTTGACTTCAGTTTACAGTGCTGCCTCTCTGCTAGATTTGCAACTAATGCAATAAAATGTACAGAAATATAGTGGTAAAAGGTCTCTTTCATGCTAGGCTAGCCACGAGTCTTTTAAAATTCATTAGTTTAATTTTTCCCACTTAAAACAACAGAGCTGACTTTACAAAAGTAAAAGCTGCTTAGTAGCGACAGCCCTTCCTTCACAGCTCGCTGTTCACAGCGCACGGCCTGGCCGCTGTATCCGTGACACTTCCATCGGGTACAGAGATTTTTTAAGTGAATGTACACATTTGGGCTAGTAAACATCAACAAGTCTAAATACCTGTAACAAGCACACTTCATTTTAGGACAAGAGGTTTTTGTTTGTTTTTGTTTTTACATATACAAAATCCCACAAATTGAATGTGCGCCAATATCCATGCAGTAAATAAATGTTTTTACAAATAGGTTTTTTTTTAAATGATAAAAATATTACACTGGACCCAAAATTCCATACAAACATTAATACGTGATTTCTCATCCATTTTGACTAAATACAGGATTACTGAAAATGTGCTGTAGAAAGGCCACTCTCCTGTACAGTTGTGCAAAGTCTGCAAAACGATAGTGATTTGATGGTGGTTCAAAAGCAAAGAAAAAGATCCCTGCTGTGGAGTTTTGACTTTCTCCTCTACAGCAAAAAATATTCACTGGCATACATCTGAACTCTTAGAGATGAAAGTACATTCACTGAGCTGTACAGGCAACAGTATAAAGCTGATTAGAAGTAGGTTTTACAATATAGAATAGTAAAGGAGGGTCCCTCCTCCTAAAAAACCCAAATAAACAAAACCAGCAAATTGTGACGTTATGCAGCCAGACACTAAAAAAGCAGCACGGTCATTATCATGCTGTGATCACTTTCAAAAAAACGAGATGCTTATACATGGCAATAAATGAAGAGGACTTTTTCATAGACTTCATCCACTCTGTGGAACAATTCATGAAGCTATGAAAAACCTCTATAAATTGTTTCTCTCATGTAATTCAACGTAACCGATCTCTGAATGGCCATGATCCTCTTGCTCCTTGGGAGAGAGGTACGTCTTCATTGTTTCAGTATAGTTTTCTGTATTATAATTCGTATCAGTCCATAACTAGACTTATTTTACTTCCCTGCCTGAAGGATAACTACCTATGTTTAATCAATGGACTAGGGTGAAAACTGGAAATTGGAGAGTTGATTCTTTTCAGTTTATGCCTATAGTTTTGTAAGAATTGGAGTTTAAAAACATGAGTTTGGGCTGAAATTACATATATATAGATATCTATTAGCTGCCTTTCTGGGTGAGTTAAGTGTGTTTTAAAAAATCCACTCTCAAATTCCTTGTACACAATCAGCATTTCATCACTACAAAAATAAAGGAAGATTTAAACCAAGAAAATAAAGCAGCTCTATCTTCAGTTTTGGTCTTAGTTACAAAAACATCTTACAAAGCTTTGCCCTGATACACCATTAAGTGTCCCCTTTAGGATTTGGAATAGTGTTTCCATTAACCAGCTTTCACAAGTTAATAGACTCTTAAGACGAATGTTAGATACCTGAACTTTTCTTATGTGACGGTCTTCTAGTTTACTTAACTCTTGTGTGCGCATCTACATGTCACAAAAATAAAACTACAGCATTAAACTTTGTGCAATGTTTAAGAAAACTCTTAGAACATTTTAATAAATATAAAAAAGGTTTAAATTCTTTCCCACCCATAAGGTTGTCTGCACCTGAAAAAATGTGATTTAATTTTGAAGTTTGTTTATATAAAATTAACTTAAAGGGAGAAAAGATGACCTTAGATAGAAAACTGCCTTTTTTTGTGGTTTTACTACTTGAAGACCACCTGTCTTCAGAATTGTTTGCAAAAGTTAATTTTAAGTCATTAAAGACGGTTGATTTTGCACATGGTAAACATAGAAGCTGAGTACTAACTGCATATAAAATATACAAATGCTCATTAAAGACAGTGGTATTATGACCGTATATGGTTTGTTTCATATAGTTTGGTAACATTAAAGTATAGCTTGTCAAGTATCCCACACATTGATATAAAAACTACCTTATATACTTGGTCAAAGTACCAGAAGGTTACCAGGTGGCCTGAAGGCAGAATACACTTACACATGCGTTTCAATGTATGAATGAGTGTGTGTCAGAGAGGAAGTGATTACATCTACTTCAGAAGATATACTTAGTGGGTCATTTGAGGTGGTGTTTTGACAGATATCCAAGAAGAGGTCGAGGTACATCTGCTTCCACTGTTGGAATTCTTTAGATGTCAAGTCTGGATTGTCCAGGACTTTATCAATAATGGCTACTTCCCCTTCTCTGGCCTGAAAAGAAAAGGAGTCAGCAGTTAGGATGGGGACAAACCTTTAGCAAGATTTAAAATAAAAACAATAGGTAAAAATTAGATTAAGAAGTCTCTAAGAAGCAGTGCTGGTATATCAAGCTCAGTCATTTAAACTCAAATCTTAGTTTTTTCTACACAAGGTGGGCCTCTTCACCTTGCCTATGCTCAAGTGTAACTTTTCTCTTTACCTCTTCTGTTTTCTATCTCTGCCTTTGGACAGCTTCCTCAATTTTGAGGATCCAGTTCAAATGCCTCTCATCTCTTCAAGCCTTCCTTCAGCAATCAGAAAAAAAATTTTTTTTCCCTATCATTTATGTCTCTGTAACACGTTATCACTGCCAAGAGCAGCCTGCCACATTCTGTCCCGTTACTCTTGTACTTAAGACTTTTTTTTGATTTCACATACAAGTAAAATCATACAATATTTGTCTTTTCTTCTATGACTTATTTCACCTAGCATAATGCCCTTAAGGGTCATCCACGCTACTGCAATTGGATTTTCGCCAATTTGGTTTGCCCCAGAGAGCAAGCGTATGTCACACAACTGGGAAGTCATAAATACTAATTGACAATTGACCCAAACACTGGCAAATGCTCAGATTCTTTGTTGCTAGAAGAGAAGGATTTTGGGGAATCTAAGGTACATAAAAGATAGGGGTGAGGGACTGAGAGAGAACGGGGCGGGGGGGGGGGGGGAGGGAAAGCAGGCCTTTGAAACAGGTGAGCCTAAACAGGTGAGCCTGACCTGTTGAAAATCCTGCCTGCTCTGGCAACCAAGCAGTCAATGGGGGTGGGGTGGGGGGATGGGCAATGAGGTTATCTTTGGAGAAGGGTTGGTCACTGGAACTATTTTTATGAATATTAAAGCTTTTAAAAAATTCTGGTGTTAGTCAGCAAAAGTCGATGAAGTTGTTGCATGAAGACCAATAGAAAGCTAAGTGACTCGGAAAACTTGGCTGCTTGCTACTGGAAATTTTTTAAATCATGCACTTTTTTTTTTTGGTTAAGGATTTATTTTACATATTCATACATACAAGAACTGGGGTATAGGCCAGAGATGCGGGGCAAGGGGGAGTGAGAGGTTTCACCAGAGACAGAGTGGGGAGCAGAATAGGAGAGGTCTGCTGAGCCAGGTGGGTCAGCTCCCTGGCCAGGAACAGGGATCAAACTCATGCTGCAGTGACTGCTGACAGCCTCACAGTGCTGAGACTTAACCCCTTGTGCTGCCAGTGAGGCCCTAAAATCATGCACTTCCTATTTGGTACCAGCTTATGTTTGAAGATCACAAAACCTCAGCAGCACACTATGGAGCCAAAATGTTTCCCAAAGGAGCCCTCTCAACGTTTATTTCCAGAAATTACCACCGTCTGTATGACAGTTCTTTTTAGTCTTTGATTTTTCAAGGGTGGAAGGCCTGCTTAGGGAATTGTGTGACAGGCCCTCTCTCCCACAGACACACACAGCGGGCAGCTCACTTTTCTGCCTTCAACTTCCTGCCCTCTGCTCTCCTTTTCTCACTACCTCCTCCCCAGTTGGGGGTAGCAAAATAAGACTGAAGATAATATAATGTACCCATTTAATGCAAGTGAGAATAAGAAAGTCACATGTGAATTGGGAACTGAGATGCAAACAGAAAAATGATGAACTTTCTACGTGGAACGTCAGTCACTGTGGCTTCACTCAAATATACTGCAGGAGACATGAAATATCTCAACCTAGTTTACCACCAGCTATTTCATTCTGCATGCCTACTATGTTTTTAAGTAACTATAATAATTATGTTACATGACATTATTATCTTAGGAAAAGACTGAGGAATGACACCAGCCCTACATTATTACGAAGAAAAAAAAATGTAACTATATCTTGTTTTTTCCTAGAACTGTCACATAACATTTAGTCAGTGCTTTGAAATGTTAATGAAAAGTTAAGATTATTTTCGCTTCCGCTTTACCAGTACACTCACATCCCACAGCAACAGCTTAGCATTAGCTTCTTCCTGTTTACTTCCACCTCCCCAATCCTGAGCCTATTTTGTATTTCTTCACATAAAGTATCTGGTAATCCACTTTGAGTTCAGGAATGAATCTCTTGAAAGGAATTTCTCCTTTCATGTCTTACCTTTAAAGTGCTTTTGAGAATTCTCAGCCGGTGTAGTTTTTCATTCATCACAGGATCATTACATCTCTTTATAAATGATAGTTTGTATTCCATCTTGGTTGAAATGCGATGTTCTCCCAGTGGTGACAGGTTGGCTTGCTCCAGTGCCCTGTATAAATCTTGCAATGAATCTCCTAACTGTTCTTCCCTACTTTCACCTGCAATGTCCAAAAAAAGAAAAATGAATCCACTGTAATCTACAGTTATTTAACACTCCAAAAATCAACTGAAAAAATCAAAACCACCTGAAAAACAGGATAATGAAAATGA